AATAGCAATTTTCCCAACAAGTGGTATCAAAGCCTAGTTGTTACGGTGGGAGCTTTTAAGTGTTAAAATAAATTTTCTTTGTAAATTAAAATTATAAGTATTCCACTGTGGTTGCGGCTTAGTCTGATCTTTCCACACAAGAAATACTGGTGTAGAAATTATTATTTTAAAAGCAGATGGAGTTTTAGAAGTCTTGAAAGCGGGTGGACTTTGCTTTGTGTGCTTGATCCAGTGTGGGTCCTGACGATAATTATTGACGTTAATTCTGGTACAAAAGTTTTGAATAATATACAATGCCGTAACTTTTGTCTAAGAGGCCGGATTTTAAGTGGGACCACTTGTGACCTCTTCCGGCCCAACTGAGATTTTACGTGGAATGGTAATACTGTCCTAGGAGATGCGATTGTGTCTTCCTGTTATTTGCCGAATCGGTTTTTTGCTTATTATATGGTTTCACTGTTAGTACAAGTAAGCATAGTCGGCTATGAGATGGAGATTGAGAAATTTGAACGGGAGAATGAATTTTGCACTGTGGCAAGTGCAATCAAAGACTGTTGATTCAGTCTGGACTGCTAAGGTTTTGCAAAGGTTTTTAAAAAACAAACCCATTTCCCCCCCAGCCCCCCGGAAGACAATCAGGAAAAAAGGTGGAAAAAACCCCCAGTTGGCAGTAGAGACTCAGAAAACATCCAGACTTAGCGATGAGAATGGGGAGGACCTCTGGATATCAAAGCGGCAAGTCAAATTCGCATGTGTCTAGCAAAAAATGTTCTTGCTAATGTGCTTGGATTGTCCACGACAAAGAAGTTGTGGGAGAAATTGGAAGAATTGTACCAGGGCAAAAATATATCCAATAGGTTATATTTGAAGGAGCAATTTCATACGTTGAAAATGGCGGAAAATACAAAGCTGTCAGATCATCTGAGTGTTCTTAATGGCATCGTCTCTGAATTAGAAACTCTTGGAGTGCAAACCGAAGATGAAGATAAAACTCTCCGACTCATCCTGTCACTTCCTTCGCTTCTCCACAATATGAGCACATAAAACCTTTCTGAAAATATGGTAGTAAGGAAGTGGTGTATCGGATGTGGTTAGTAAGCTCATTACTGAGGAGAGAAGACCGAATGAAAATGAATAAATAAATCATATGAGGATCACTTTATCTGTCGGACCAGAAAAATAAAAGCTCCGGAAAGAGGAAGGTTTGTCTGCTGGGGGGTTGTGGTCAAACTGGACACGTGAGGAAAGATTGCCCGAACAGTGGAGCTGATTCGGCTAGAAGCTCTAACGTTGTTGCTGCCAATATGATCTCCTATGGCAAGGAGATGATGTGTTCTCTCTGTAATTGAGAGATGTGTGTCCTCATGGCATGATTGCTACCCGTTGAGATGCCATGGAAGAGGACGGATTATTGGTAGCTGGTCCACGGAAATGCGCACAGCATTGATTGACAGTTGATGCAAAGTGTGTGATGGAAAAAATATGTCGATGGCTAATGAACTCTCAGAAAAGTCAATAGGAGGGTTGCACCATAAACTATTAGCGGGATTTGACATGGCCGATAGAAAATTCTTAAAGTCAGTAAAGTGGTTCCAAATGACGATACTCTTTTATGGTGGAGTATGATAATTCTTAACGATAAGAATTATGATTGTCGGTAGCAGACAATGTTGTTTTTTTTTAATTTTATTTTTAAGGTGGAAATTGTTAGCCTCGTTTGTTGAAAACAAAAGAAAAAAAAAAAATATAAAAAAATTGGTTGTGCTCAATCCCACATCGGGGAGATTGAGTTTTGAGAGTGTTTGAATTGGCTATAAAAAGAAGCCAATGTTTAGTTCTAAACACAACCAAAAACACACCAAAAATACTTGAATGTGTTATATTAGGGATTTAGAGCAAGTCTCTTGGAGCCCTTGGAGTAATAAAATTGGGGGTGTTTTTGAGGGTGTCAAGTAATATTTTGTAATTGTGGTTGTAACAATTTGCCGCATATTGAATATTTTTCTTGATTATCGTTTGGCAACGGCCGTGGTTTTTCTCCACTTGGAGAGTTTTCCACATTAAACTATTGTGTTATTTATTCTCTTTAATTTCTCAGTCATTATTTTATTTTCTCATTTGTTCCTGCTTGAAGCCGAGCCGAAGGGCTTGAAAATAGCAATTTTCCCAACAAAAACAACCAAATTAGCTAAACCATCCTCCACGTGATTAGCTTCATGAGAAATATATTATTTTTTATTAAATAAATACTCTTGATCGTGGAAATAAGAACTTAAAAGACTATATAGAAGTGATATATAAATTAAAATTTGGGTACAATATTTGACTATATATATATATAATCTTATTTTGACTATAATTTTTTTTTTTTTTTTTAAATTTTTTTTTTTGTTTTTTACATTGATCTAAAACTTTTAATCTTTGCTGGCAAATTTTTAACTCTTACTAATATATATATATACTATAGTATATACTATATATTATATATATATATATATACTTATATATATATATATATAGACACACACATTGATTTTGTGTTCAAAAATTACTTTCAAATCTGTTAAATTTTTTTTATTTAAATCATATGGTATGCGAGTTTTATTTATTCAATTGATCTGGATTTACGTCGAGCATATCCATAAGGAGGTAGAAAACACTATCTCCCAAGTGTTTAAAGGGACTCCATACCTGCAAGCCATAGAAAAGCACTCTATCCTGACCAAATCATGAAAGCTAAAGCATGAAATCACAGTTTCAAAGAGTGGTAATTTAAAATTCATACCTATTATCTTGTCTTTTTTTTTTTTTTTTTGTTTCTACTAAAGTATTCTTCTAGCATTCATTGCGATTCATCCATCTCAATTCAGATTCTAATAAATCTGATTTTTTTTTTTTATTTCAATTAAGGAAACATCTTTTGACAATCCAAATGCACTTCCGATTTACTGAATTTACGGAAACATCTTTTGACAATCCAAATGCACTTCCGATTTACTGAATTTACGGAAACAGCCTCAAAATGTTTTCAAGCTGGGTCGTTGCCGTTTTCGTTTGTTCGAACGTTTTCAAAATGCGGAAACTTTCTCTACCTTGGCATTTCCATGCATCACAGGTTATTAATGCTAGCCTCAACTACTGGGGTTATTAATTTTTATTTTTACAATTTCAATGATTTACATATGTTGTTAAAATGAGGAAAAAAAGATAAATTGATATCTAAATTATAGTCAAATTAACAAATTAACTATAAACTCTGTTTTAAAAAAACTATGAAATCCTTAAATAATGATTTTATTAACATTTTAATCATTTTATTCGAAATAACTTATTTTGACTGTCAATTGATTGGAAAATGATAAAACTGTCAATTGATTGGAAAATGATAAAATTGACCTTACATAATTAACAAATGAGGAACCTTTATTTTCAAAAATTAATTATAATGTCTTTAATTTATGATTATATTAACACTTTCATCCTTCCATCTAAAACAAAAGGATCAAAGTATTAAAGAAACCATAATTAAGGAAGAACAAAAGTATCTCATGTATTAATTTAATTATAATTTATGAACGGGCTTATATTTTTTTCATTCTGTAATAAAGATTGGAAGGCTGTCTTGTGGTAATACAGACTGTTTTAATTTGCAAAATCCAGCCAACTGGAAAGTAAATAATTATAATTAACAATATGAAAGTAAATAATTATAATTAACAATATAGAAGTTAAATTAGGAAAATGTTGAGCATCCAAATCAAAAACAAAGAACAAGTGTGACAGAGAAGATTTTGAGGCTTAAATGTAACAACCTTCAAGTTTTTATTATATCATAGCATAACAGTTCCTACAGGTGTATATTACCCAACCACCACCTGAGAACCAGTTCTATGACACAAACTAACGAAAGCACAGTACTCATCTAGCACTAGCTAGACATATTACATTAATCACACATCAACACACAACAGAAACAAACGTAACTAACATAACTAAATTATTCTTGCAGCCAACCTCTAGCAGATATTGCATGAGGCACACTTACTAAACACAACACCGGTACATCAGGTACTTGCTCATTTTCCGGTCACATATTGCACATGTCATCATCTCATCCGGAACCTCGGGAATGGTCGCCGGGAGGACAATGTGGTTGCAATGATGTGCTTGGACAGCATTTTGTTGTTCGATTTGGTGGTTAATTGCTGTAAGAAAAGAGTCAATACTAGTGCCAGGTTTCCACGTTTTTATGTTTCGCAAAATCTGCAGAATAACGTCCCCGGTTGCTTTAGCAATTTTCTGATGAGATCCAAATTGACCAAAAATAGCCCATCGGTTGCTTTAGCAATTTTCTGATGAGATCCAAATTGACCAAAAATAGCCCATCCCTTATAGCTTCCATTAAAGCTAAGCAAAGTCATCACATCTTTCATTATATTGTCTTGTTTTGCAATTTTTCCATTTTTCAGCCCTGAAGAGAAAATGCTTTCTAATCTAGTCCAGAATCGCCAACTGTCTGTTTCTTCCGCTATCCAGTGCACACCAATTTTCCTTGCAGTAATGAAATCGATAATTGCTTTGTTGGCTTCATCGACTGCATTGCTCTTGCTCACATAAACTAATTCTATGTTCAACTTGGTGAACTCTTTAACACGAGTTATTTATGGAATGAACTCCTCAATCCATTTCATGTCTTCTCCTCCATAAAGGCATATGATTGGTGCAGGTTTTGTCTGCAATATAAATATATATGGAAATTCACCACAGTAAAATCAAATTCTAAAATCTGAGAATGAAAATCATTAATACTAAAGAGGGATAAAGTAAAATTACCGAGTCAACATGATAAATATCATGAATAAGAATATCTAGTGTCAACTGCTTCTCTTCCCATGGTGATATCTTGCTTCCAGGTGATGATGGCAGTAGACCAGGCAAATGTCCTATCAGCCAAAGCAAGTCAAGAGTATGAACAGATTCTGCATGTCCCTGTTGATCAAACGGCCAAGAGTATGAACAGATTCTGCATGTCCCTGTTGATCAAACGGCACCAATATTGCGTGTTTCGAGAACTTCCACACTTCCTTGATGTATCTGATAACCTCTGGTTTGATAAGTGAAGGGTGTCTTACAGTAAACCATGACATCAGAGATTGCAAAGACAAAAATTTGTGTTCATCCAAATTGCCCTCCACGATTGGAATCCAAACTAGTTGATACTGAATATTGTGCTTTGCTTTGAGATGTTCGTACAATTTAGCAAGAGCTTTAATCTCTACTTGCCATATGTCAAGTCCAGAAATGAGCAGCAAAACCTTTGTATGCTTTAATACCTCAATTTTCACCTGTAATAGCTCGATTTTAATACCTCAATTTTCACCTGTAATCTGTTGCCACAAGGGGTAAATATAAAAGAGCAAACCTGTTCCTTAGTGGTGCCCACCACAAGGGGTAGCTTCCCACCCTCCACGTGGAAGAAGGCCTGGAATATTGCCGTAATGTCTTGGACAGTCTCAAAAAGGTTGACCAGGACATTGTATCCACCTGCAATAATCCCATCATCCTTATAAGCCATTTGAAGCAAATTAAATTAAGAATTCGAAGAATTTGTTTGAATTTGGATCTTTTCCTTTACATAGTATTAAAAGAGAATAAATTTCTTTTCTAAAAAAAAATTCATGTCCTTCTTTTTCTTTGCATTTAAAAAAAATAGATCGAACTAAAAGAAATTTAAATTATAAATTATGTTATCTTATTTGTCTTTAGTAACGAACAATTTCTTAAGTCAAATATATTTTCTATCAAATGAGTTGATAAAGAATTCGAGTACTCAATAGACAAATACCACATAGGCTTTAATCAAGTTTGACAATTAATATTTAACATTTAATCTCTACAAATTAAGAGAAGTCATAAATTAATCAAAAAATTAGAAAAAAGAAACTTTGTTCCACTTCATATGAATAATAATAATATGATGCCAAATCATTTCAAAAGTTTAGCATTTTTTTTTTTAGAGATGAAAAGGTTTAGAATTTTGTTATTATTTTTTGTTCTTTGAAAAGTATTAATGATATTATTAGTTTCATAAATTGTAGTAAAAAATTAATAAAGTATTAATGATATTATTAGTTTCATAAATTGTAGTAAAAAATTAATTTGAAGAATAAATTTACTTCAAAATAATATTCATGACGTTATCAATTTCATTAATTATTAAAAAATTGAAGAACAAATTATTAATATCATTAATGATAGTAGCTTTAGTTTTATCGATATCTAAATTAAAAGAAAATCAAATTAAAAAATTAAAAAATAGGAAAATAATATGCAAAAATGTTAAGATGGCATCATATTGGTCTGATACATTATTTTCTTTTATTTATTAAGAGGTTCAATGGGTTGAAATAGCATTGTGAACTACACGATATGTGATAATTCTCCCGTTATTTCACAAAATTAGTAAAATCTTTTATGGTTGAGAGGCTCATACCTGATACTTTTCATTCATCACTAATTAGATTACAGATTATTGAGAATATTTGTTTACATATTATTAAGGATATTTGTTTAGCCAGGTGTTTAGATAGTCCCATATACTAGGTGTAGGTTAGATCACAGTGCAATTACAACGCCCAAATGGTAAGAGTTTTTTACCAATTTCTTGTTTAATACGAGAAAAATGCTTTTGAAGGATTGTCTGAATACTGTTCACTTTAGTCGCCAGTTCCGACAGTTCCCATGTCATTGTTGCAGCAATGGTGCGCCTGAAATCAAATCATACAAGTAGATGACTTGCTTTTTTTTTTTTTTTTACCAATTAACCCTAAAAAGAAAAAGATATAGTCAAGCATACTTACTGATTTTTCGATCCAATAAGGGCAACAATATGAGAGGCACTAGTCACAACACTATAAATTGTCCAATAAACAGCTCGGACAATATCAGTTATGACAGTTGAAAATGGCGGTTTATTACTTGCATGATACTCAGAAGGTAAAGTATTGAACTGGAGAACAGATCGAATTATGACAGTTGAAAATGGCGGTTTATTACTTGCATGATACTCAGAAGGTAAAGTATTGAACTGGAGAACAGATCGAATTAAGGCAACCATAGCCTTGTTAAGGTCAATAATTGCTCCAGAAAATTGTTCCAATAATTCAGCATCTTCCACTACGCCTTTCAGTTGCTTGAGCAAAGCTATATTTTTAGAAACTGGATTTTTAGTGTAAAGCTCAGTAAGCAGATAAAATTCTCCATTGTTGACAGCAAATGCGGCCACCATTATCACCAGCTTCGCATCCCACGAATAGTTTGAAAGAAACTTTTCAAGTAACATTATAGTTGTTTCTTGACTATTCCGACCGGAGCAATTGCATGATATCTGCATATACATGTGTAGATCAGAAAATTAAAATTAGGTTTCTTTTCATTTTTCACTTTTTTTTTTTTTTTTGAAAAAAAAAAATCTTATATTTGGATGCTTGAAATCATAATTAGAAAAACTTACTTTGAAAATTAACTTTTCAAATGTTCTAAAAACTCTTAAATAGAGAAAAGTAGGATATTAGATTTTCAGTATGATAATATTCACTTTTTAGAAAGTGGCCGGGTATGCTTTATACTTTTATGCTTTAGCAAATGCATTCTGGCAGTTTGGAATCGAATAACTAAAATTTTACATTTTTGATGACTTATCCAAACTGTATTGGAACAAAAAAAATAATGGTAATTTTTTGGTTTAGTTCAGTTCGGTTATTTGAATATTCAAATTTGTTTGTTTCATCTTAAATTTTTAGTGTTAACACTAAAGTGTATAGTTCTTTTTTACATAAAAATTAAAGTGTATGAAATTTCGGTTCGACCAATAATTTTTTTTTTTTCAAAACCCAGCCAAATCAAAAAACTAAACTTTCTTTAAATTAAAACATGTATCCAAATTAAAAATCGAAAAGCAAATCAAAGAATCCAACTACATCGGTTTGATACAGGTTTTTTTATTTTTTCCAAAATTTGCACATCCTACTACTTTATGTGAACAAGATAAAAGTTAATAGTGTTTTTACTTTTAAGAGTACGTTTTTGGATTTGAAGAAATATTTGTCTTTTATCTCTTTTTATCAGCAAATTAATTTAATTTATCAATTAGAAAAGCTAGAAGATTTTGTCCTTTACAGTAGGGTTGAAATATAATATTATCGAGATAGTCTAAAAATAAATGCATATATGACTTAGTAATAAATTCAGATTCAAATCTTTTTTTCAATACTCAAATATATATAATAACAATATATAAAGGCTTAAAATTTGTGTTAGAAGTAACTATTTATAATCGTTTTTCAAAAAAAAAAAAGTAATTATTTATAATCAACAAAAATAATTAACCTCGCAACAGATCTTGTTTATAATTTGAGCAGGTACTTCAGAACTTCCTGTAGATGTTCCCTGCAAAAAGCAACTACATGTAAATATACGTACATATATAAAAAGCAACTACATGTAAATATACGTACATATATACTCCAATTCTATGTATAAATAATATTCATGAATGCACTAAATTGATGTGAAAAAATAATATTCCTAAAGGAAATTTAGTTTTAATCTTCTAGTTCAAACTAATGTGAGAATAACTTCCACCCATAAATACATAAAAAATAAAAAAGAAGCAAAATAATTACTTAGAACATACATTTGTAACACCACCATCACCACTGGGATTGTCGTGAAGCAAGATCTTGGTAATAATAGTGAATAAGTTTTGAACATCAACTTGGCGACCATCAGGTTTGTGGATTCCTTCAACCTTTCTAATTATTGCAACATCATCGGACTGCAAGAACTTAGGTACAGAACTTAGGTACAGGAAGTGAACGTTGAATTGTTCGAGTCACTTGCTGCGTGGCGCGTGATATTATTCCTGCCATGTTTGGTAGCTGGGAAAGTTTTTTGGGTCTGGAACGGAAAATTTAGAACTGATAACTGAGGAATTATAGAGAAGAGAAAGTTTGGGGACTCAGTTTGATGGGTTTGGTTCTACACCTTCCTCCTTATATAGGCACATGTTGGTAAATGTCTTTTGGATTTCTAAACGTGTCCTATAATAAGACGGGTAGCATTCAGATGAGGGGAAGATTTATGTAAAGTCGAACACGTTTATATATCCAACCAAGTATAAATAATATTTTGGTTCATACAGTGAAAAAATGATAAAATAATCATATTTTTAAAAAATATATTTTTACGGGCCCCTTTTATGCTAGAATAATTATTTTCTTTAGTATAGAATTTTTACTTATATATAAAGTTTTATTTTTAGAATGTCAAATTAAATAGTTTAGATTTCTTTACAATTTTCACTGTGTCTTGTATAATTTCGTTTTTATATTAACTAATTTATGATAAATTCATAAATGGAAAATTAATTCATTTTTTGTTTTTTTTTAATTTATTGAGTATTAGAGAGGTGAATTCGAACATACATTAATATCAGGTCACATATACACTTATTACTAAATTATACCTTAACGTGCTCGTTTTCTTTAATTGAATAAAGCCATAACTAATACTGTATTCGAATAGAAATTTAGGCAGAAAAATATTGAAGATAATAATTTTATTTATTTTTTTAGTTTGATGTTTGGATATGTGAGAGAATAAAGAGAAATTAGTTTACAATTAGTAAAATTATGAGTTAAATCTTCATTGTTTTTTTATTAGTTTACAATTAGTAAAATTATGAGTTAAATCTTCATTGTTTTTTTTTTTCAAAAGGTTCAATAAATAATTTTATTTTTAGAAGAAGTTCAATAAATAAGGGTGAAATAGTAATTTAATTATTTTCTCTCACTTTCCTCTTAAAACAGCATAATATGTGAATTCCATAATGTTTTTTTAACAGAACCAATAGATATCCCTTTGGCTGTACAATGTAAGTTCTTTTGGCTAAAGATAGAGTTAGGTATGAAAATTAGACAACGGCTTTTCAAACTTTTTTTATAGTTCATTTGCGTGATTAGATAGTTGGTAACAGACACTATTGCTCATCATTTAAATTCATTATTGCTCATCATTTAAATTCATTATTCTTATCTCAAGAAGTTCTTGCATTTTATTTTTGATGTTTTTCAGATTTTTTTTTTTATCTAGCATTTTTAAGTAGATTTTAATATATTCTAGAATGTAGAGTCTGTTCGGTAAAAATAATTATTTTTAGTAGTTGTTAACTGTTTTAGTTGTGTTTACCTGTAAACTGTTTAGATTTTTAGTAAAATATTATCTTAACTTCTAAAGTAAACTGTTTAGATTTTTAGTAAAATATTATCTTAACTTCTAAAGTCAGTAGAAACGCTATAACACCGAACACTATAAAAAAAAATAGTATTTAACATTCTTATTTAAAAAGTTTTTGTCGAATACAATAGTAATTTTTTAATTTTACTAAATTTTTTCTAGACATGACTAATTAATAAAATGAAAATTCTTTTTCTTTGATAAAAAAAACATAATTTTTTGGCATTTTTAATTCGAGCATTCTCCGAGAATAAAACTCGCGTTGTCAATGAGTAATGTTGTTGGTTACTTCATGATTTTTTTTTTTTCTCTTCCCTCCAAAGAAAATTTAGTTTCCTATTCAAGTTTCATTCTTCCCATATGTCGGCCCCATAATTAACGAATGTGTGCACAAAATACAAATATCTGTAGCGAAAAAACACAGTGCATTATTGTCCTGTTTATAGATACTACAAGTGACTCAGAGAATGTTGGCTCAATGGTCAATCTTTAAATTTAGGATTTTGATGATTAATACAAAATAAATAAATTTAAAATTATCTTATTTGTGTTAATTTTATTTTATGCAGAAATTCATTGGAAAGAAAATCATACAATGCAAATCCTACTTTGAGTGTGAAGATTTCGAAGACCTAGTAGCTAGATATTTAGGAATACTTTGTAGAATAGAGAGAAAATCCATATATGAGCATAAAAATCTTTTTCTCTCAAAAATATTTTTTGGAAAATTAGTTTTCTTCAAAATAATGTATTTTCGAAAATATTCCTTTAAATCGAAAAGTTTTATTTTCCTAAAACTAAGATATTTGGCTATCAAAAAAAATGAACGGTAAGTGGTTTTTGCGTAAGTTTTTTCGGAAAATTAGTTTTCTTCAAAATAATGTATTTTCGAAAATATTCCTTTAAATCGAAAAGTTTTGTTTTCCTAAAACTAAAGAGATCTCTTCTATAATGTTTTTAGTAATACAATCACTCTCTTTTCGGAAATAATATTTTGATAGATCCAAAGTATTTAAAATTATTCTCTTACCTTAAAAACGAAAAAGAATCTATTTCGATTTTGGTAAGAATATCTTTCCGCAAAAATACCCTTCCAAAATAAACGCCTTCGAAAATCTTTTCTAAAAGAAAAAGTGAAAATCGGGTTTTATTCTCTTATCATTACTTAACCACAAAATAACAAACGCCATTCACGACAACATACATTTTGTGTTATAAAAAGGCAAAAAAAGTATGTAAAAAATTCGGAGCTTTGGTTATAATTTTTACAAATAGTCACTCTCCAATTATACCACCCACAAAAAGGGGACATAAAATACAGTAATTTGTGGCCAGAAGATTTAGTGGTATAACGAAAGGAGTGGTGGAGTTATTTCATTAGTGGCTTCCTAAATAGTTAAGAGAAGTGAAAAGAAAGGGAAGTGAGGTTCGGAGTGTTTTTTCATATTTTCCTTTTTGGTCGAATAAGGTAGACCGCTACTTTGTTGTCTTTTATATGAAGTTATTTTTAGCGGTCCAAACAAGGTATTTAATTTGTCCTCTTTAATATGGTAAATTCTATTTTGGTTTGAATTTTAGGCGTATTTAGTGGTTGGGTTAAAGAGCACTCTCCACAATCATTTTGAATCAAATAATCCTTTTTAATTGCAAGGCAACTTAACTCTATAACCACTTCAACTCATTTCTTCCTATTTCATCTTTCTACATTAAACGTTTTCAATATTTAAAGTGAAAAAGAATTTTTACAATTACTCTGTTGAACACTACAATCCTGTGTTCTTTACAGGGCCAAATCGCATTTATATCTTAAACTGTAATCTGGATCTAAAGATGTGGTGTGTTTTCTTAGACTGTCTTTATGTATATTGGAGACGCCTTTCTCACTTTTCTGTCTATTTAGATTTGGTGGATATCTATAGTAGACAAGAATGGGCGAGTCTTTGAGTGTTGCTATCTTTTTGGTAGTATAATAGTCTTAAGTGTTAGGTTCAAGCTATTGAGATAGATGAAGGGGTGGTTATCAAAGCGACCTTCCCTCACAAATGTGTGGTAATAGTAATGATCTTGTGAATCGTTATGTGTCAGGTTTTACTGTTATCTACTATGACACATAAAAAATAATTAAAAGAAGAGAGGTATGAAGGTTACTAGAATCCTTTTTGGATAATTAAATTCAAATGTGGAAGAATAAAGAAAACAAAAGAAGGACGTAGCATTACCTCGTAAAGGTACTTGTTGATGGCTATTGGGCCTGCAGTTGGAACTTGTATCTAGTTGAAGTATGTCTCTTAAGGCACATCCTTTAAAAGCGATGACATAAAGCTTAGCCCGGAAGGATCCACTCAAGATTCCTGCGTCTATTCATTGAGATAACTTAGTGGAGGATCTCAAGATGCGTTTTGGGGAGTGGATGTAGGCGAGTTAGTGCCGAACCACTATAACTCTCGGTGTTGATCTCTTTCTGTCTGAAGTTTGGTTGATACTGTCTCTTTTACACTCTTGTTTAATTTTTAGAAACGCTGAAATTGTTAATAATTCAGTTATTCTAAAACGGAAATAAGTCTCATCTATCCTGAACATTAGAACTCTGGTATTCTAATAAAGTGAATATACAATGTTCTAACTGTTATTCTATTCCCAGTCTAATTCACTGTTTGGGTTTCTATTTTATTTTCTAGACTTTATGAGGATGTTTTAATCCTGATAACTCTCCATCATAAAGTTACTTTAATATTTGATTAAGGCTTTATTCCTAATAGCCTAGATCAAAATCGTACATCAGGTGAAAGTTAGGCTTATTATAAATATTTAAGATTAAAGGCTAACTGATGAAAGAGTATACTGGGAATGTTATAATAACTACTCTCTTCACATAGACGCTAATAAATTTGTTTTCGCAATAACTTTTTATGCCAGGAATTTGTTCCTGGAAGTTCGGAAATTCAATTAAACTACTTTCTCTCCTTCCAAATCAAAGAGCTCCGATGGATTAATGTGGTACCAAATGCATCAAGTGGTGCAAGCTCTCTGTTCTAACATCAAATAGAACTTGCATTTTGCTACATCCTCGACTTTGTTCTATTTATCATGAAACATTAAGTGAATTTTAATATGTGGGACGGAGATTCCAATCGTGCAATCCTATGGGATATCTAATTCTCACAAAGATTCTGTGTGTGTTTTTCCGGTTGGCACTAGAATTCTAATTCCTGGTCGTGTTTTTAGAAATTTTTCCTACAACAATTTATTTCAGTTTTTAGAAAACGCGGAGCAATTCTCACCCCCACCTCCATTCAGAAGTTTCGCCTAGCCATAAGGCCCATTATTTAGACAGGCGTTAACGCCACCACAGCAGAACATTCCAGGCCCAAAGCTCTCCTCGAAACCTACAATAAAACAAAACCCACAAACGGGTCGATATTGTCAGCCGGTGGGAAAGATAGAATTCTAATTCTTGTTTAGAATTTCTAAAATTTATTTCAGTTTTTAGAAAACCCAATTCACCCCCCTCTTGAGTTGTGCCATACATATTCGCAACCCACAGAGAACATACCAAAGCTCCTGAAACTAAAAACCAAAACGGGTCGATATTGTACAGCCGGTGGGAAAGACTTAATGCTAATGTCCAAAGCATTCGTATAAATTATTACTCTTTCCGTTTCACGTTAAATAATAAAAGGTATTTTACTTTAGATCCTCATTTATAATTTCAAAATTAATATTTTTTTTTAATTTTAACCATATTTATTATGTTAATTTATTTTTATATTTATATTAGTTTTTTTATCATTATTTTGATGTAATTAAATTAAAATTTTGATTATACCGATAATGAAAAAAAATTTATTATATCAAAATACGAAAAAAATGAAATGGAAATACCAGTCTACGGTTATGGTTTAATATAAAATAAAATTAGCATTGGTTTGTAGTAAAATTAAATAGGAAATTTTTAATTTTAATAAGGCAACTTAAGCATTCTATATTTTTAAAAATCAATATTTTCCAATCATTTTCTTCATTTTATGAAAAAGATAAATATTATTATTAAAATGGAACAAATTAAGGAATAAAAAGAAATCAACATAGACCACTAATATATCTCGGTGCAATCTACGAGTTGTGCCTTAATTGGCAATGCAATCTGGACATGTAGGAAGAACTCTCAAATTCAATTCCCACTAAACACATCTGCAGAGATGGACAAAGAGCCTTAACTGTGATTAAATCTCGAATTGAATTAGACAATTTCTGATAATCGAGTCCGAATACCGGTAGTTTAAATAGATAAACAAAGAAGAAGATATACGTAGGATAGGACTTCCTCATTTCACGTAGAAGAAATAAAGAAAAGAAAAGAAAAAAAGGCCAAGAAAACATGAGTTGGATGCCGGCGCTTGGACGGCAGGTAGGTTGAGACATGGGAGAAGTGATAATAGTCAAATTCCCACATGCAATGGTAACGAATATATGGAGCTCAGCTCCTGGCTTTCAGGAATTGTTTTTCCCAAAACAGACGACTGGTTTCCGGTTTTAGTTTATTTATTTGCTTACTGTTATTATTACAACTTGTTTCTTTCCTATGTCTATTTAATTCTTTTAAGCCTATGTCTATTTAATTCTTTTAAGAATGTTCATATAATATTAATATTAGTTTTATATTTTAACGAAAACGATAAAAACGTTTCCACGTTGCCATCTGAAGAAATTAACACTTCAAAAAAAAAAAAAATATTATTTTTAATTTTTAAACTTTAAGAACAACTTAATGAGAGTTTGTTGCCATTGTAGATAAAGATTCATATGTAACTTTTTTTTTTTTTTGAATGGTTGTTTTAATAGTTAATTAAGAAAAACTGTGGCCTTATTTGTTGACTATCCAGATGAAGTTATTAATGTTAAGAAGTAATTTACCATGTGATTATCAAATTTAAAATTACAAGCATTTAAAGGAGGTTTTAATATTTCACACCAAAATATAACCTATAGCCTAGTAATAAATATATATACGGTTTGATAATAAATTTATATTTATTCCCCTTTTTCAATAAAAAAAAAAAAAAAAAAGCTTGAACATTATCATTTTTCTTTTATCTAACCTAAACGTGACTGCAAATAAACACTTGGTAACTACGTCAATATAAGAGATGATAAGGGTTAGTTTGGTAATTGGATGTTCTAGATTTTGAGGGGTAACCTGGTAAGAGTCAGATTACGATGAAACAAGATGGAAATGAAAACGATAAATTGAACTTTTTGGAAAAAAATTGTCCATGGATTAATTTTTTTTATGAAATATTTATCAATTTAATTAACTTTATTAACTAATTTATCTCAGTTTCAAAGAGTAGTAATTTAAAATTCATACCTATTATCTTGTCTATTATCTTGTCTTTTTTTTTTTTTTTTTGTTTAATTGTTTCTACTACTAAAGTAATTCTTTCTAGGCATTCATTGGCGATTCCATCCATCTCAATTCCAGATCCTAAATAATCTTTTTTTTTTTTTTTTTTTTTTCAATTAAGGACAACATTTTTTTCAATTAAGGAAACATCTTTTGACAAAAACATTCATGTATCAAAAAATTAATTTTAAAATATTATTTATTATCAATTAAAGAAACAATATAAAAAATATTAAAAATAATAATAGAGATTGTCCATATACTATTAATCCAAACTCGTTCATTCACACAAATGTATTAAGTTAGTCCAAACCCGAGGTCAAGAGTTTTTTTTTTATAATTTATAAGCCCTAAATATAATTTAGGATGCTATTACAATAAAATGTCAAAGATCAGGGTGAAATTGGTATAAAAGTCAAATTAAAGTGAATTGAACGAAATGTTAAAGTTTAGGGTGAAATTAACATAAAGGTTAAATTGAAATAAAATTACAACAAAACCAAAAGTTGAAGGTGAAACAATATATTAAGCCTCGAAAGAAATCCCTAAATTATGATTTTATTAAAACTTTAATCCTTCTATCTGAAATAACTTATTTTGACTGTCAATTGATTGGAAAATGATGAAATTAACCTTACATAATTAACATATGATGGCTATTTGTTTTCAAAAACTAATTAAAATGTCTTTGTCATTTTGTTAACACTTTAATCCTGCCATCCAAAATGAAAGGATAAAAGTGTTAACCAATCATAATTTTAGAGATTTATAATTAGTTTTTAAAAATAAAGGTATATTATATTTTAATTTAATTATAATTTAGGGATCAATTTATATATATATATTTTTTTTGAAATAAAGATTGAAAGGCTGTCATGTGGATTTTTTCGCAAAATCCAGCCAATTAAGTGGGAAGTAAATAATTATATTAATAACATTGGAGTTTATTAGGAAAATGTTGAGCGTCCAAATCAAAAGCCGAAGAAACAAAGAACCTTCAAGTTTTTATTATATCATAGCATACCAGTTCCTACAGGTGCAACATGGGAACCAGTTCCAGGACACAAACTAACGAAAGCACACTCATCTAGCACAAGCTAGACATTACATTAACCACACATCAAACAAAACAGAAACAAACATAACTCCCATAACTAAATTATTCTTGCAACCAACCTCTAGCAGATATTGCATGAAACTCACTTACTAAATACAACACCGGTACATCAGGTACTTGCTCATTTTCCGGTCACATATTGCACATGTCATCAATTCATCCGGAATCTCGGGAATGGTCGCCGGGAGGACAATGTGGTTGCAATGGTGTGCTTGGACAGAATTTTGTTGTTCGATTTGGTGGTTAATTGCTGTAAGAAAAGAGTCAATACTAGTGCCAGGTTTCCACCATGTATTTATTTTTAGCAAAATCTGCAGAATAACTTCCCCGGTTGCTTTAGCAATTTTCTGATGAGATCCCAATTGTCCAAAAATAGTCCATCCCTTATAGCTTCCATTAAAGCTAAGCAAAGTCATCACATCTTTCATTATATTGTCTTGTTTTGCAATTTTTCCATTTTTCAGCCCTGAAGAGAAAATGCTTTCTATTCTAGTCCAGAATCGCCAACTGTATGTTTCTTCCGCTTTCCAATGCACACCAATTTTCTTTGCAGTAATGAAATCGAAAATAGCTTTGTTGGCTTCATCGACTGCATTGCTCTTGGCTTTGTTGGCTTCATCGACTGCATTGCTCTTGCTCACATAAACTAATTCTATGTTCAACTTGGTGAACTCTTTAACACGAGTTATTGCTGCAATGAACTCCTCAATCCATTTCATGTCTTCTCCTCCATAAAGGCATATGATTGGTGCAGGTTTAGTCTGCAATATATATATATATGGAAATTCACCACAGTAAAATCAAATTCTAAAATCTGACAATGAAAATCATTAATACTAAACAGGGATAAAGTAAAATTACCGAGTCAACATGATAAATATCATGAATAAGAATATCTAGCGTCAACTGCTTCTCTTCCCATGGTGATATCTCCGTTCCAGGTGATGATGGGAGTAGACCAGGCAAATGTCCTTTTACCCAAACCAAGTCAAGAGTATGAACAGATTCTGCATGTCCCTTTTGATCAAACGGCACCAATATTGCGTGTTTCGAGAACTTCCACACTTCCTTGATGTATCTGATAACCTCCGGTTTGATAAGTGAAGGGTGTCTTACAGTAAACCATGTTGATAAGTGAAGGGTGTCTTACAGTAAACCATGGCATCAGAGATTGCAAAGACAAAAGTTTCTGTTCATCCAAATTGCCCTCCACGACTGGAATCCAAACAAGTTGATACTGAATATTGTGCATTGCTTTGAAATGTTCGTACAATTTAGCAAGAGCTTTAATCTCTACTTGCCATATGTCAAGTCCAGAAATGAGCAGCAAAACTTTTGTATCCTTTAATACCTCAATTTTCACCTGTAATGTCTCAATTTTAATACCTCAATTTTGACCTGTAATTTATTGACACAAGGGGTAAATTTAAAGAGCAAACCTCTGCCTTAGTGCTGCCCACCACAAGGGGTAGCTTCCCACCCTCCACGTGGAAGAAGGCCTGGAAGATTGCTGTAATGTCTTGGACAGTCTCAAAAAGGTTGACCAGCACATTGTATCCATCTGCAATAATCCCATCATTTTTATATGCCATTTGAAGCAAATTAAATTAAGAATTCGAAGAAATTTGTTTGAATTGGGATGAGAATAAATTTCTTTTCTAACAAAAAAAAAAAAAAAAAAAAAAAAAAGAAGGTAGAACTTTTTGGTTTTTGGAATTCAAGGGGATGGAGAACTAAATAAAAATTCTTTCTCAAACTACCACACACAAAAAAAAAAAATGAAATAAAATTAATAATCTTCATGATTCTTTTTTTCTTTGCGAGTTAAAAACTAGAATTAAATAATGTTTTTGATCTAAATACTTCATAAGCCTATGTATCAAAATGAAAAAATATAATTTCTTTAGATTCTGTTATCTTTTATCGTTTTAAGATGGTTATACGTGGATCAAGCTCAAATTATTTTTTTTTTAAAGAATTTAATCATCAAATTGGAATACTTTGTTTTCTTTAAATATGCATGTTGATAGATATTGAAAAAAAAAAAAAAAAAAAAAAAACTCATGTTCTTCTTTTTCTTTGCATTTAAAAAAAAATTTGAATCAAAAGAAAAATAAATTTTGTTATCTTATCTATCTTTTGTAACGAAGAATTTTTTTTAAGTCAAAGATATTTTCTATCAAGTGAGGTGATAAAGAATTCGAGTACATAGGCTTTAATTAAGTTAGACAATTAATATTTAACATTTAATCTCTACAAATTAAGAGAAGTCATCAAGAAAAATTAATCAAAAAATTAGAAAAAAAAAAAAACTGTGTTCCACTTCATGTGAATAAGAATGATATGATGCCGAATCATTTAAAAAAGTTTAGCATTTTTTTTTTCAGAGATGAAAAGGTTTAGAATTTCGTTATTATTTTATGTTCTTTGAAAAGTATTAATGATATTATTAGTTTCATATTTATAGTAAAAAATTAATTTGAAGAATAAATTTACTTCAAAATAATATTCATGACATTGTTTATTTCATTAATTATTAAAAAATTGAAGAACACATTATTAATATCATTATTGATAATAGGTTTAGTTTTATCGATATCTAAATTAAAAGAAAATCAAATTAAAAAATTAAAAAATAGGAAAAATAATATGCAAAAATATTTTCTTTCTTAATAAATAAAAGAAAATAATATGTCAGACCAATATGATGCGAGCTACACAAAATGTGATAATTCTCTTGTTATTTCACAAAATTAGTAAAATATTTTATGGTTGAGAGGATCAAACCCGAGACTTTTCATTTATCACTAATTAGATTACATATTATTGAGGATCCTTGTTTAGCCTGGTATTTAGATAGTCCCACATACTAGGTGTAGGTTAGATCAAAGTAAAATTACAACGCCCAAGGTGTAAGAGTTTTTTACCAATTTCTTGTTTAATACGAGAAAAATGCTTTTGCAGGATTGTCTGAATACTGCTCACTTTAGTGGCCAGTTCCGACAGTTCCCATGTCATTGTTGCAGCAATGGTGCGCCTGAAATGAGATCATATAAGTAGATGACTTGCTATTTTTTTTTTCCAATTAACCCTAAAAAGAAAAAGATTTAATCAAGCATACTTACTGATTTTTCGATCCAATAAGGGCAACGAAATGAGAGACACAAGTCACAACACTATAAATTGTCCAATAAACAGCTCGGACAATATCAGTTATGACAGTTGAAAATGGCGGTTTATTACTTGTATGATACTATGAGAGACACAAGTCACAACACTATAAATTGTCCAATAAACAGCTCGGACAATATCAGTTATGACAGTTGAAAATGGCGGTTTATTACTTGTATGATACTCAGAAGGTAAAGTATTGAACTGGAGAACAGTTCGAATTAAGGCAACCATAGCCTTGTTAAGGTCAATAATTGCTCCAGAAAATTGTTCCAATAATTCAGCATCTTCCACGACGCCTTGCAGTTGCTTGAGCAAAGCTATATTTTTGGAAACTGGATTTTTAGTGTAAAGCTCAGTAAGCAGATAAAATTCTCCATACTTGACAGCAAATGCGGCCACCATTATCACCAGCTTCGCATCCCATGAATACTTTGAAAGAAACTTTTCAAGTAAGATTGTAGTTGTTTCTTGAGTATTCCGACCGGAGCAATTGCATGATATCTGCGTATACATGTGTAGATCAGAGAATTAAAATTAGGGTTTCTTTTTATTTTTCACTTTTTTTTAAAAAAATAAAATCTTACATTTGGATGCTTGAAATCATAATTAGCAAAACTACAACAGTTTGATACGGGTTTTTTTTTTAATTTTTCCGAAATTTGCACATCCTACTACTTATGCGAACAAGATAAAAGTTAATAGTGTTTTTACTTTTAAGAGTACGTTTTTGGATTTGAAGAAATATTTGTCTTTTATCTCTTTGTATCAGCAAATTAATTTACTTTATCAATTAGAAAAGCTAGAAGATTTTGTCCTTTACAGTAGAGTTGAAATATAGTACTGTCGAGATGGTCTAAAAATAAATGCACGTATGACTCAGTAATAAATTCAGATTCGAATCTTTTTTTCTAATACTCAAATATATATATAATAACAATACATAAAGGCTTAAAAATTGTATTAGAAGTAACTATTTATAATCGTTTTTCAAAAAAAAAAAAAAAACTATTTGTAATCAACAAAAAATAATTAACCTCGCAACAGATCTTGTTTATAATTTGAGCAGGTACTTCAAAACTTCCTGTAGATGTTCCCTGCAAAAAGCAACTACATGTAAATATACAAAAAAAAAAAAAATCAACATTTGTAATCAACAAAAAATAATATAAACCCTTTTCGAGACAAGAATCTTGTTTATTAATTGGAGCAGGTACTTCAAAACTTCCTGTGAGATCGTCCCTTGGGCAAAAAAGCAAACTACATGTAAAAACCCTCCATACCATTACAAATTTCCTGCAAAAAGCAACTACATGTAAATATACATACATTTTATACTCCACTTCTATGTATAACTCTTTTTTTTTTTTTATCAGAAAACAAAATATTTTATTAATTTTTAATATATACAGGGAAAACTTAACATTGAAAGACAACTAAACCGAAACCATTAGGCTTACTAAAAAAAATCTCCAACCTAGCATATGAATGCTAAGTGAAAAAATCTGAAATAACCTCACAATACATGAAGAAAAAAATAATAAAATCCAAAATCTTAGAATGAAACTCTTGAGAAAAGTAAATTTAAACTTCGAAGCATTGAAAACAAAGATATAAGAGAAAAGCAGCTATAATCAATAGTGAGTAACTTAACAAGGATTAAAAGAGACTAGAAAGTTTCAAATATATGAGAAAGAGAAAAATCTAATGGGACTTGATCTATCTCCTTCCCTCTTTGATCAGGATTCGATTTCATTAGAAGTACTCAGAGAATAATGTTCATGAATGCACTAAATTGATGTGAAAAAATAATATTGCTGAACGAAATTTAGTTTTAATCTTCTAGTTCAAACTAATGTGAGAATAACTTCCACCATAAATAATTAATTAGAACATACACCACTGGGATTGTCGTGAAGCAAGATCTTGGTAATAATAGAGAATAAGTTTTGAACATCAACTTGGCGACCATCAGGTTTGTGGATTCCTTCAACCTTGCTAATTATTGCAACATCATCGGACTGCAAGAACTTAGGTACAGGAAGTGAACGTTGATCAGTTTGTGGATTCCTTCCAACCTTGCTTTAATATTGGGCAACATGCATCGGACCTGACGGAACCCCAACTTAGGTAACAAGGAAGTGTGAATCGTTTGAAATTGTTCCTCAGGAGTCCCACTTGCCTTACTAGTCGTAGGCACTTGTCGATATTATTTCCTGCCATGTTTTTGGTAGCCGGAAAGATGGGGTCAGTGGAACGGGAAATTTTTAAAGATCAGATTATATATCTTGAGAATTTATAGAGAAGAGGAAAGTTGTTTGTGGGTCGATTATATCTTCTGGTTTGGTGAAGGTTTGTTCTTACCACCCTCCTCCTTTATATAGGCAAGGTTGGGTTATAATGTTCTTAATTATTTTTTTATTTCTTTACACGCTTTTCCTCACAATAAGACGAGGTAGCATTAGGTCGAACAAGGGTGTAAAAAAATTAATATAGTTAAAGAACGGGTGTGATTGACAACTCCATATATTATAAAAATATAATTTAGTTCAAATACTCGGAATAGTATTTTCTTAATTATATTATATAAAAAAATTAAAAAATGAATCATATTTTTTTTAAAGTTTTTCGTCCTGTTTCTAAATAATTTTTTTTTAGAAGAAGTTTCAATAAATAAGGGTGAAGAATATGTAGATTTAGATTTATTTTCTCTCACTACTTTGCTCTTAAAATAATGCGTGCAAGCAGTAATTATGTGAATTCCATAATTTTTTTTTTAGAGGAACAAGACTAACCAAATTATGTATACTCCTTTTTTAGAAGAAGTTCAATAAATAAGGGTGAAATAGTAATTTAATTATTTTCTCTCACTTTGCTCTTAAAATTAATGCGTGAAGCATAATATGTGAATTCCATAATTTTTTTTAGCAGAACCAATAGATATCCCTTTGGCTGTACAATGTAAGTTCCTTTGGATAAAGATAGAGGGAGGCATGAAAATTGGACAACGGCTTTTCAAACTTTTTTTTATGGTTCATTTGCGTAATTAGATAGTTGGTAACATTTAAATTCATTATTGCTCATCATTTAAATTCATATTCTTATCTCAAGAAGTTCTTGTATTTTATTTTTGAGGTTTTTCAGATTTTTTTTTATGTAGCATTTTTATGTAGATTTTAATATTTAAGGGCTGATTGGCTGGGATACAGGGTCTGTTTGGTAAAAATAATTATTTTCAGTAGTTGTAAACTGTTTTAGTTGTATTTAGCTGTAAGCTGTATAGATTTTTAGAAAAATATTATCTTAATTTCTAAAGCTCGTAGAAACCCTATAACACCGAGAGCTATAAAAAAATAGTATTTAGCATTTTTATTTAAAAAGTTGTTGCCGAATATAATCGTAATTTCTTAATTTTATTAAATTTTTTCTGGACATAACTAATTAATAAAATAATATTTCTTTTTTGGATTTAAAAAAAACATTTTTTTGACATTTTTAACAAGTGAATTCTCTGAGAATAAAACTCAAGTCGTCAATGAGTAATGTTGTTGGTTGCTTCATGATTTTTTTCTCTTCCCTCAAAAGAAAATTTAGTTTCCTATTCAAGTTTCATTCCTCCTATATGTGGGCTCTAAAAAAAAAATTTTTCATTCCTCCTATAGTTGTTGGGTCTCTAAAAAAACAAATTATGCCTATATATATATACCATATTAAATAATATTGATATAGTAATTATTATATGATATATATTATGAGATCTATTATTGATTATATTATTATATATACTATTTATATATATTTTTTCTTAAAAAAGCTTATTGGGGAGTGCTAAATTTAAATGGTTCTATAAACTTTATTAAAATTTTTATTCTTAGAGAGTGAGTGGAGTGTGTGGAATAAAAATATAATTTTTTTGGCCCAGTGAGAAAAAAATATTTAAAATTTTTTTTGCATGTTAATGGAAAACGCATTCTCCAAGAATTCTTAACTCGTGTTTGTCAAAAATAAATAATATTGTTAAACGTGTCAAGGCCAAATGGGAAACATTTAGTGGATAATATATATATGGTTTGAAAACCCTGATTAAAATTGCTTAAAAAGCTATTGGGGAGTGCAATAGTAATTTCTTAACTTTATTAAATTTTTTCTAAATATGATTAATTAATAAAATATAATTTTTTTGCCCATAAAAAAAATATAAATTTTTTGGCATGTTTAATAAACGCATTCTCCAAGAATCTAACTCGTGTTGTCAATAAATAATATTGTTAACGTGTCAAGGCATAACATAGTGATAATATATATATGGTTTGAAAATATATTTGGACTTGAATTTCCTTTACCAAATAAATAAATAAATAAAAGAAGGAAGAAGAACGTTGTTGGTTACTTCCTGATTGTTTTTTCTCTTCCCTCCAAAGAAAATTTAGTTTTTTATTCAAGTTTCATTCTTCCCGTATGTGGGCCCCATAATTAACAAACGCGTGTGATTAACGTGTGCGCAAAATACAAATATCTGTAGCAAAAAAGCACAGTGCATTGCTGTGCTGTTTGTAGGTGCAAGTGACTCAGAGAAAAGGACAAAGCTCCTAAAACGAAAAACTAAAACGGGTGGATATCAATGCTAATGTCCAAAGCATTCATAGAAATTATTACTCTTCTCTTTTCACATTAAACAATAAAAGGTGTTTTACTTTACATCCTCATTTGCAATTTCGAAATTAATAACTTTTTTTTAATTTTACCCGTATTTATTGTGTTAATTTATTTTTATATTTACATTAATTTTTTTATTTTTATCATTATTTTGATGGTAATTAAATTAAAATTTTGCTTATACAGATAATTAAAATTTTTTATTTCAAAATATGAAAAAAATGAAATGGAAATACCGGTATACGGTGGTGGTTTAATATGAGATAAAATTAATATTAGTTTGTAGTAAAATTAATAGGGAATTTTTAATTTTAATAAGGCAACTTAAGCATTCTATATTTTTAAAAATCAATATTTTTCAATCATTTTATGAAAAAGATAAATATTGTCATTAAAATAGAACAAATTAAGGAATAAAAAGAAATAAACATAGGCCAATAATATATCTCGGTGCAATTTACAAGCTGTAACTTAGTTAGTAATACAGGTTGAGCATGTGGAAAGAGCTCTCGAGTTCGATACCACTAAACACACTGCAAGGAGAGACGATGTACCTTAACTATGACTAAATCTTGAGCTAGATTAAACGATCCCTAATGATAGGATCCATATACTTATAATTTACAGCAAAAAAATATATATATCTCGGTGCAATATTAAAACAAGTAAATCCATTTCCATAGTTGTTGTACCAACCACATCAATATAAAAGATGATAAAGGTTACTTTGGTAATTGGATGTTCTAGATTTTGAGGGGTAACTTGGTAATAGTCAGATTATGATGAAACAAGAAGATGGAGATAAAAACGACAAATTGAACTTTTTGGAAAAAAATTGTCCATGGATTAATTTTTTTTTATGAAATATTTATCAATTTAATTAACTTTATTAACTAATTTATATATTACAATTTCTAGTTGGATGAAGATACGTAAATTTACTGTGATGATACTTTTTGGAAAAAATATATATCCATGGATTTTAATTTTCCCGTTGTTTATGGAAACCATAATTTATCAGAATATATAAATTATAAACTTTATTAGGACTAATTTATATATTACCAATTTCTATGTTGGGTATTGAAGATACGTACAATTTTACTTGTGGATTGACCTATCAAAAAAAAATTGAAATATTATATTTTTTTCACCAACAATTTAAGTAAATTTAAAATTTATTATTATTAAGATTGTTTTATTTTGTGTGATTTATTTTTTTTTTTATAGGAGAGATAGGGGAACAAAAATCCTAAAGAATTACTAGACATTCGTTACGGTCTAAACTGGGGCCAAATAACCTGAGCACATCCTATTTTCATGAAACTTCACAATCTCATTTTGGAGGCTGAAGAAAAGAATATATTTGCCTCATATATGCGGATTATTGGACAACGGCTTTTCACAAACTTTTTTTAAAATTTGACTTATAGATAAGTTTCGGTAACAATTTAAAATTTCGAGTTATTGCTCATCATTTAAATTCATTATTCTTATCAAAGAAAGCTTCTTTGTATTTTAGTGTGTGGTGTGAGGTTCCAGATTTTTTTTTAGCCCGTCAGCAAATTTATTTAAATTCATTATTCTTATCTCAAGAAGCTCTTGTATTTTATTTTTGAGGTTTTCCAGATTTTTTTTTATGTAGCATTTTTAAGTAGATTTTAATACATTTATGGGCTGATTGGCTGCGATGTAAAATCTTTTCAGCAAAAATAATTATTTTTAGAAATTGTTGACCGTTTTCATTGTGTTTACCTGTAAACTGTTTAGATTTTTAGTAAAATATTGTCTTAATTTCTAAATCCAGTAGAAACGCTATAACAACGAACACTATAAAAAAAATAGTATTTAATATTTTTATTTAAAAAGCTGTTGCCAAATAAATATAAAGGTAATTTCTTAATTTTACTAAATTTTTTTCTGGACATGACTAATTAATAAAATAAAATTTCTTTTTTTTTAATTAAAAAAACATAATTTTTTGGCATTTTTAATACGTGCATTCTCCGATAATAAAACTCGCGTTGTTAATGAGTAATTTCGTTGGTTACTTCATGAATTTTTTTCTCTTCCCTCAAAAAAAAAAAAAACCGTGTGTGAGAAACGTGTGCACATAAAACAAGTAGCTGTACCAAAAAATCACAGTGCAGTATTGTCCTGTTTACAGATACTGCAAGTGACTCAGAGAACAGGCCAAAGCTCTTAAAGACTAAAAAACAAAAAGGGACCACAAACATTCAGATTATTCTCGTTCACAAATATAAATCGATTTTTTAATGATTATTTATTTAACAATATTGACTAATTTTAAATATTTTAACTACTAATAAATAATAATTTCTCAATATTATCTTTATTTATATTAAATACAATAACAATATTGGTACTAATTGTTAAATATTTTAACT